TTACGTAACATTCAGTGGTGAAAAATTAAAGGTTTAGATTAGTTGTCGAAGACTGAGGAAGTAGATCGTAAGTAACGGGTGTTGAATAAACAACTGAATATTTTATGGTCCTAGATTAAATCTTCGTTAAAATCAACGTAAAAATGGAAAGAAACAATTCGACGCGCAATCGGTGTCCCCGAAAAATACTGTTACCGTACATTAAGAGTGAACAAATGAAAACCAATGTGTCGAATGTATGAGCGAAAGGTGAGAGAATGCGTGTACGTGTGCGCGTGTTAGAAAAGAACGAGAGAAAATACGACGCGAAGAAGCCAGGCGATCAAATCGCCCAGAGAATTGAAAATTCTAAGTCTATAAATATATTTACAGAACTGAGTGCATCGTACCGCGTGAGAGAGTGGGAGAGAGTAGTGAGCAAGTAAAAGAAGATAAAATGGCCGATAGAGGACGAAAGCTAGCTGAGAAGAATGCGAGTATGAGAAGAAGGAACAGTAAGCGAGACGCTAAAAGGTATAAATACGATAAAGTTAACGAGGACGGTATAAATATTAGTTTTAGGAAAATAAAGAGGCATACTGAGAGGGAACGAAAGGGGAGGGGGAGAGCTTTGTGGAGGGAAGCGGGGAAAGAGGATATAGAGACAGTGATACGAGCAAACGATGGATGAGTGTATGTTCTATCAGTATTTGCGCAACAAAAAAAAGTCGCGACTTAGAGTGAAGCGCTTAATAAAAAAAATCAGTCGATACGTACTCGAATTCCGAGGATCGATCGGATCTTACGATCGAAGCTGCTGAAATATCCGAAGGGCGAGTGTAACACGGCTAAAAGAGCAAGAGAAATTCTATATATATACATACGACAAGAAAAAAAAAAATATATATAAATTATACATATAAAGAATGAAGGGGAAGAAGAAACAACTATCGTTGATCGCTATATCAAGCAAGTAGATATACATAAATATATATATATAATTATATTGAAGAATATAAATATATATACATATATATAGTAGCGTGTCGGTATAATTATTACGATTTTTAAGCTCGCGTCACGGCGAACTCATACTAGACCCGAGACGCCCACTGACCGCTTATGCGAACCAGAGAATCAACTATAAATCATCAACGAGAGTGTGAGAGCATAAAGACAAACTGTCGAGGATCGAAATGAACGAAATTGTATGTTTTGCGTGTGACAGTATCAATTGTAAATGCGTTCAGTTTTCATCGGTGTTGCCTAGGGATTTTGCGTAATCGTGTTCTTGCTTTCGCACAAAACATCGAGTCGAACGAAATTGGCATCTTCTTGTAGTTATTGTTTAAACTCTCGCGCAATCGACAGAATGGTCTCCGACAAATGAAAGCTACTAGAAGGCTTACGTTTATCTTCTGTTCAATCAGGGACTTGTTTTAGATCGATTACCCTAACAGTTATTTGTAATATTAAAAAAAATTTCTAGCAACCTTCGAAGCTGAACGCACTCAGAGAAAGTGTATAAAACACAGTACGCGGATTCAAGTAGACCTTAACACCAAGAGTAAAACGGAATTTCCTGCAGTACAACGGTTAGATCAATTATGGGGATTTATCTTTGTAGCTATAACTAAATATTCGTATTCTTCGCTGTTCCGCGCGTCGCGCGTATTCTGTTGTCCGAGTCTCTTTCAGGTCCGCGTCGTAACGAATGTTCTCGCGACAAATAGGAATAAAATGAAAGAGAATGAGAGTCTGTTTCGTCGATATTGCGTTTTCAGGAATCCCATGCGAGCGTGAGCTCGACCCTGCGCCCAAGCACGACGGGTGAGGCATTTCCGCTTTCGAGGACTGACTTTTTTATGTCGTTCTAAATAATAATTATAATAATAACGGTAATGGTAACAATAATAATATTAATAATAAGATTGATAACGATAATATAAAAAAAAAGAATAAAAATAATAATGATAACGATGCGCGTTCGAATTGCTAATAATAATAATACGTATACTTTAAGGCATTTGTTCCCCCGGCGTGCTTGGTCGTGTCTTGTTTTCCATTGTTTGCGAAAGAAGATTTATTGCGTCGCAGTGTTATCGATCTCGATTACGATCGATATTCATCGATGATTGTAAATGATTATCGGTAGTCGAACGGAAAAAAGTACCAAGAGAACCCTTGCACTCGAACACCTGATTACAACGATTATTCTGATTTTCGTTTATGCTTCTACGGTGTGCAAGCGAGTGTACAGAATCGACTAGATGTAAAATGGAAATCTAGGGATTCCCCGATTTAGTAAACGTTACGAATAACAGTCGGATACGAATGTAACAGCGTAGGTAAAATGTGGTTCGAGTAAGAAGGGTTAATTAGTTACTAATTAGTCGGGGATCGGTTGAGTTTGAGACCGTGCTTTATTTTTGTTTCAATTAATAACGCGCGGGCTGCCAATACATGATCGACAACAATGTTAGTGTTTCAAATACGAAAAATTTGAACATTTCCAAACCGAACAACAAATTTCAAAAATATGTATCGTGCGTTTCGTTATTATACACCATCACAAAACGTCTAAAGACTTAGTATAATATAATTTCGTATCTTTTCTATTTTTGATCATACGTTGTCAGCCAATGCGTCGAGGATAATGCTTGATAGCGAATCAATAAATCTCGCGCAAGTATGAAATCGTAAAAGTAGGGTTCTAACGTTGCCGATTCTGGTGACGATTTAGTCGGTGTTAAGTCCACGCTAATCCAAGAGGAAGATCGACGGTGCTTGCGATCATCGATCGATTATAAATCAACAGTAGAATTAGTAGAGCGTGACAATTTCAGAGAGGTAGTACTACCGTTGTTCCGTTGATTGTTTTCATAGATTTTATTGTGCCGTGACCGCATCGCGTGTTCTTGCTAAACGTTCGTTTACTTGCTGAAAGGTAACAATAAACAATTGACTTACTTACAAACAATCCTTCAGTGAGCTTGTTAAGCGTTCGTATTGTCCGATTTAATTATTTCCAATTCTTGATCTAATTGACACCATCGATCGCCATCGATCGATGATAAATGAAAAGTAACTAATCGTTCATAATTCCTTGTGGACGATTACAATCTTACGCCAAGTTTGGGATTTTGATAAAATTTTTAAAGGTGTGTTCAGAGATTAAGCGACAATTAGTCGAATATGTATTTAGTACCAATCAGCATAAAAATAGAGATTAACATAAAAATATTCTTTTCAACTTCCTTCTTCTAGAAAAGAATAATTAAGTACCAATGTCGCTAGCTTTGCTAACTTTAAATCTTATCAAAATTCCCGTCTCCGTTTCATTCAGAATCTCGATTATATAGTTCGATTCGTTATTACCTGAAAACTATGTCATACGTCCGTAGAAGATAATTTAGAATTAATAGAGTTCACAATAGTGGTTTCGAGAGTTCAACGATTTATTCTTCGTAAATCAGAACCGAAGGATTAATTACGCCAATTCGGAGAAAGTCTTTCTTTTCTGAATTACGAAAGCGTGGCGGGGAATCCAGTCAATTAGGTAATCTTTAACATTTTCTGCGGGCGTATGAATAACAATTTGGCCATTCCTCGGTCCAATTTAATTTAAATTAACTAATGTTTGATGTTTAATAGAAATTTGATGCTTATTACTTAATTACTAAATGTTGAACGAAGTAACAATATAATAAGAATCAAAGTATTATCTGTATGTAAGTTACAATTATTCCGCTATTTTAACATCGATGAATCAGGTCCAGTGACTCTGAAAAAATAAATTCCCTAGATGATGATGATCGATCGGTATTGTGCTTCCCATGCTCATCGACCGATCGGAAGATTAATTGACGATTATTAAATCCCGCGAAAATTTGAGAAACGATCGCGAGGTCCCACGGGACGCGGCCACGCCTAGCCAGGACTATTTTTCTAAGTTGCAAAGTATAATAAATTAACTAAGATGTTGCATTATCGTTACATAGAGTATATTATAATGTATATTGATATTTTAACTAGCCGAGTAAGTATGAGGCAATGTTATGAGCATAGTAGACGAGTTGCATATGTAGATACCGTGGTTGCGTTCGTCGACTATTGACTATCGTGACAGTTCGCACTTGCGGTCGGTGCGCGCGCACACGCACGCTGCGACACGCCATTAGTTTCATGCTAATTAATCGAATCGACGACGGCGAAACAAGAAAGGAGTCGTGAATTATTGAGAGGCGAGACGAGAGAGAATTTTACGGATAATGATTCGCCGTTACGAGTTCCAGTGTCGATCGATTCGCGATCCAGGTTATACAAGAGGTGGAAATCGATCTAGGGAGAAAAAAAGATTCCTAGGCACGATGCACCGGGGCTGGAACGGTGTGCATGACGTGTGCTTGTAAAGACGTGTGGATGAGAGTGCGCGAGCGAAAAATTGTTCAACGGTGTCGTTCCACGACCGGAGAACAGAAAGAATTAAAATATGAATCGTTCTGTCAGTCACCTCACCTATATTATACAATGTCATTATACTATGCTGCCATATGATATAAATATATGTCTACGGTAAGGAGTATATTATTAAAACATTATAAATAAATATGTTATAAGTAGTTGCCTTGTAGCGTGCTTCTTAAACCGACAACGTTCTTTTTATTTTCACTCTTTGAAAATTTGTAGAAACTTGACGCGTCTTTTAATTTGATAGTTAATCGAACTATGATGATTCGAATAGATACTATGATTCTGAATTTAAAACAATTATTTATCCTTCTATTGTACGTCAGTAGACAGTTTCAAGTGATCAAGTATTACGGAAGTTTCATGTTTCGCGCTACCAAATTACGCTAGTTTAAGTTCCCGAATGTTTCGCTAGGTGGCAGCTGCATCGACCGGAATGGTTTTATCAAACTAATAGGGATGTATTCAGTGACCGGTGTACATACGTCTTTGGAAGACAATATGATTCTTTGCCGAGATTTTGCATAACCTCAATTTTTTATGTCTGAAATTTTAAGAGTTCTTTTTTAGGAAACACAATAAAGTTATAATATTATATTTTTATACGCTTCACTGTCGTCGAATGATTTCCGTATCGTAAAATTTTAATTTCGTCTTCAATGTTAAAACTAATCGAACTTGCAGATCTATAATATTTTGAGGTTATGAACGGGTTTTGTATATTACATATCCGAAAATATATTTTCGTGTTAAGTGTATGTATGGAACTAAGCACAAATTTACTTTGTCATACAAAATAGTTTTGTACCATAATAATATCGAGAAATTATTCTTTGATTTTATTTTTTAGATATATCCATTCTGTGTAGTATACACAACTTAACTTATGTTTTATTATGAAGCGACGTCAAAGAAGACCTGTTTTAGAAATTAATCAAGGACAAACTGGTTCTCACGGAGAACATGTACAAAGTAAAGACATATATTTTAGTATAAAAGTTTTTGCTAATGCATAATAAATGTTTTAAATGCATTGATATATTTATGAGTAGAGTATATATGAAATTGTTACCAGAGGTGCATGTAATTAGATTAGATATTAGAGATGCTTGTAATTGAACTATTATATAGAAATAGATTCGTGTTATAAATATTTTATAGTATAACTGTTTAAATTTTTTTAATATATTATAATTTTATTCCTATAAAAAAGATAATGAAAAGGAATAAAAGTTTTACTTATATGTAAAACACGTTTCTTTTTTATCATCTTGCAGATAAACGCAAGCAGGTAACCAGTGATTACCCAGGACAAAGTGTACCTGCAAATCCATTGGCAAATTTACTTTGTCATTATAATTCAGATAGCGATACAGAAGAAGTTAAGAAAGATGTTTGTAAGTTGGATGATCAGGTCAATAATTTCCTTAAGGCAAGTAAACTTCTTACATGTTTTGGATTATTTAAAAATTACTTAGTATAGAAACTTCTTTGATGATACATTGCACATGCATAATTTGCAGGAAATTCAACTTATTGCCCCCAAACAACCACTTCCAAATGACTCTAGTAATTCTACCATAATTTCAAATCCAAATACACATTCTGCGCATCAAATAAATCAACAAGCACTGAGTAAGACTATCGTAACAGACATTAGGCTACTAAAAATTTTGTCTACAATATTACAAATTTCCATCAATATATAGATATATATATATATACATTTTATAGTGTGGCGAGAATGTTTAGACGAATCTTCAGGTTATCCTTATTATTGGCATATTGAAACTAATGAGGTAACATGGGAGATGCCAGAGGAATTACGGTATTTAAAGAATAATATTAAAACAAACTCTGTCGTGAAGCCACTTTCAATGCAAGAATCACACTGGGTTGATTTCTCGTCTGTTGCATGTAATTATATTTCCAAGAATTATTTGTTTCTTATTAAATGAAGTTCTCTAGCGAATTGTAGACAATTTTTTCAGATCAGCAATCTCATGAGAATATTCCAGAAGGCATGATACCAAGGGAAGTAGTGGTTCGAAATCGTAATAGATATATTTGCAATGAAACCGTTCAAAAACGAGACCATCAGATCGATCAAGACACCGCAAATACGTCCGATAATGAATCTGATGACGGGTATGTTAAAAACGTTAATATTTCTTTCGCGAGGGAAAAATCTCAACTGTTCGACTTCGGTTTTATCGAATTTGAGGCCCTTCTCTCGTTAGCGATGCAATGTTATCATTCTCGACAAACATACAAATTTATCTTTATAGAAAAATAGAAATGATAACATCCTATGGGAGTGACGGAAGCGATTCAGATGCCAATGACGAGAATCGTTCGAAAAACGAAGTGTCCTCTGTTTCTGTAAACGAATCGACCAAAATAAGTTCGATGTCAAAGCCAAAAAGCATAGAAATATTTTCTTCGTCTGCGCCTGTAACGCAATTACAACTGTCGGCAACTTCTCAAAATCCAGATAAGGATTATGATAACAAAGACGAAGATACGAAAACGGAAGTATCGTTAGATTCTATACCAACTGATGAGAAAGAGGCAAGGTACTTAAAGAGTCAAGTAATATTACAAGAGTCTGAAGAATGCACGAGCAAAACTGGCAGCGATAATCGTATAACGAAAGAATCTAAGGTAATCGGAACCAAGAAAATCAGTAATAAACAAAATGTTAATTCCGATTTGGATTTTCGTATATCTTTGGTGCCTGGTTATGATGAAGATTCTGACGCCGAGGAAGAGTCTGAAGTTAAACAGGAGAGGAAAGCTTTATTTCCGATTCCTCAAACCGATGCCACCACGGAGAGTGTATCCGTATCGCGTAGATCTATTCAAAGCAAGCACGTTACCCTGGACGATAGTCAAGTCATGGACAGTAACGACAGCGATACTAACACCGAAAAAAAAATTGTCCAGGAACAAGATAGTGAAAGTGTTCTGGAAGGGGCAGAATGCGGAGAGGAACCAGTTCTAAAGCCGGAAGAGGAAGGGCAAAAATCGAATAAGTTTCTCGATAATTTTCACGGGCGTAACAAATATTTTCAACGGAAAAAACGAATTGCATTTGATGGTAAGTGTGCTGACACATCTCGTTCGAATTATATCAATTGATTAAACATTGGGCAACAAATATTATTTTTAATTTTGTTCAGTTCCCTCGACGAAAACCAAGACGAACGATGAGGGTGAGGTAACTAAACCGGAAGTTGAGGCGCAACAAGAGGATGTAAATTCGCGTGACAATGCTGAACGTGACGATGAATCGCGCGTTGATTCTCAGGAAGAACAGAATATTGCGATGCAAGAAGATACAATGGAAAATGTTGTGAATTTTAAGAAGGAGTCGTGTAACATCGAAGAAGAGACGAGTATGGTGCCTGAAGCAGTTGGAGACTCGAAGGAAGAGGAGGGAGAAGTGAATCTACTTTCGCAGATCGTACTCGAGAAACTGAAGTTTCTGTCCGAGGGAAAACCGAGTGTGTCTCCTGTTCAAATGATGTCGATACAGTTACAGGTAAATGATGTTGTTACTTTAGTTTTCTTGTACCGATTATCAAAAATATCGAATTTGTTAACCTGTTAGTTCGAATAATCGACATTTCAGACATTGTTTGTCGCGTGGGAAGGAGGTTGCTTAGAAAAGGGTTACTTGCGTAGATGGTTGACTGACACCAGTCACGAACTGGAACGCTTGGAACAAGATGCAGCACCACCAGGATGGCTTTGTCAGTGGGATAGGTATAGTATACCATCTAAAATTTGTGTATTATTTCGTACAAATAAACATGAATCGTTTCATACAAAACATCGTGGTATGTTATACACATTACTATTCTATGAGTCTTCAATCATGTAATCTTTGCACATACCATTACAGCAAGAAGCTTAAAGCTGTCAGTAAGTGGTAATCTCGTTCTTTTTGTTTATCAATTAATTTTTTAGTGCTGTTTTCGATCTTCTATTAGAGACAGTAATTCATAATTCTGTTTTGTTTCTCTAAAATTAGAAGTTTGTTGAAAATCGTTTTACCTTTTCTAACACAAGACATAACTTCTTTCCATATCGCATTACTTCATAGAGTTTTTAAATATATGAAACCAGTCGAATACTTCGTCCGATTTTATTAGTTCCAAGAACTTAATCAATTTGGTTTTATCAATTTCAGAGTAAAACATTGTAAAAGTCTTTGTAAAATTTATAGATTTACGTTTGTTGAAATACAGATTTTATTTATACAGAAAAAAAATATACGCGAAAAAATATCGGGCTATTTATTTTAAAGTAAGATTAAGTAACTGCAGTAATAAAGATAGGTCTGTGTTCAGAGCGGATCCTTCGGAGTGGATCCTGATAATATGTATACTGCGCATATAAAAGTATGAACGAAGAGCATACGGAAGATTCAACGAACATTAGAAACGCCATTTTGTGATTCAATGTAGGAAGATTATGCAACTATTAATGAATACTCCTAAGTAATTCGAAAACTCGTTTCAATACTCTACGCGAAGAAACGAAAATTACAACAGACAATACAAATGGAAGATATACCAGAATTGCTGCACAATTAAAAATAAGTCCATTCTTGAACATTCGATTAGAGGAATGAAGAAACGATAACTCGAAGAGACACTTGAAGATTGAAAGGATGATTATACAAGAAGAATTTGCCGGACGGAAACACCAAGTGTCGAAAGAATCCTAAGCAAGTAACTCGAGTTATACATGGATGAAGTTACATGATGGAACCTGGACTTTAAAGAAGCAGCTTTGTTTGAAAATATTCAAAGGCGAATAAGTTTTGTGCACAGCTATCAATCGCAAATCAAGAGTTACGAATGTTCGGCGGACCCATGATGCGTGTTACTCGCGTTTCTTTTTTTTTACGTAAATATTTCACGAGTTTATGCCTCAGCATTTCATTTTTTAAATTACATTTTCTGTATCTATGTTCACTGTTCTATAAACATTTCTTGTTAAAGACATTCGCAAAATATAATTAAAATCGTTTAGTTTCTTTTATGAGTGCTCGTCGTGTCTTGAGATATGAAAATGAAAGGGAATCATACCTAGTACATTCATAATCAATTCACTTAATTTCGTTAGCGTAACGCAGACGTTGTCGACGTAAACTCGATGTTCGTGTTGCGGAAGAGAGCGCCTTCTATGTAACCGCTAAGTAACACTTAATCCTTTTGTAATAAAAGGGCCTCCCTGAGTTAATGGCACGCCGAGTCGCAGGTAGGAGTATTAACTGATTGTTTTCTAGCTAATAAGTTGCTTCAGAACTCGGGAGGACGTTCTTTTCACGGAGAAACGTCCCTCGAAAGTTTGTCTGTCAATGTAAACATATGCAAGTAAGCCCTTCGTCCCCCTCTGTACGCTACATTCTCCTATGGGATTTTTTCCAGGTCGCATAAGCGATATTATTACCAGAACACTACCACTGGAATAACGCAATGGACCTATCCGGACACTGGCATCGCCGGTGGTGCAGAAGAAATGGAAATTTGCTCAACACCTCCGCCAATTGAACAGGAAGAAATGATTATTCCTGGTAAGATTCGCGAAAAGTTAAAATATGGATTGAAAATATTGCATCTTAGGTCATTCATAGTCGGTGTTTTTAAACGGAAATAGTTCTTCTGTAATTGCGATTCTTCGCAGTAGCAGCAGAAGAAGAAGGAGGACTGAAATCGAAACCAAAGAAAGCCCAGGATAGCAGCGAGGCGATCGAAGACACAATAGTTCCACGGAACATCGACGTGGAAGCTCCACCTCCGCCACAAATCTCTAACCCAAGCCCACCGCCACCCCCAAGAATATACGCAAACGATTTGAAGAAGGATAAAAGAAAACGGGACAAAAACAGTGACATATTGGATGGCAAGAAGCAACGTCTGGGAGAAGGTGAATCTTTTATTATACAACTTACATTGTCTTCGCAAGTAGAATTGCTTTACATTTGAATATTACAAAATATGTTTCTTTTTTTTATAGAGGGAACAATAATTGTAGAGGTGAACCAATTGGAGAACCCTTCCATACTTACTCATTCTTCAGCTTCATTGTCACCTCAGACCTCTAGCCTTGCGAGTGTTACCAACGTAGAACCCCTGCCACCAGGTGTAGATTTAACCGAGGCGCCTTACGAACTACCCGCGACTGCTTTGAAAAGAATTATTTACAGTGCTGTGCAGTCGCAAGGTGGTGCGCTTTACGAAGCGACTGCAAGGGATCCAACAGTTCCTATTTTAAGTCATCCGGCAGCCATAGTTCAAGAACATTACCTTCAATATCCAGCTTATCATCAACACTTGCATTCTGTGAGTTTCCAAGTGGGACAGTTTTATTAATATCTTGTAATTACGATTAAATATTATATGCATTTTGCATCGGCTGGGCAGCCAGCGGCCTTAGTACTTCCACATAAACACGGCGTGCAACCAACGATCCAACTGATACCGGATTACACGCCCATATACACAAATCACAAGGTGATCGAGAAACCGCCTGTTAAAACGGCTAAAGAGTCTCTGGTGTCCGCTCTCGATTCGTTTTACAACGACATAGCTCGCATAGAAAACAGTGGGAACGAAAAAGTGACTCAGAGACAAGATACTTTAGTAACGGAACCGTCTTCCTTGCCTACGGAGGAAACGAGCGTAGACGCGGAACAAGAACTTCCTTCCGTCGAGGTTACAGTGAAGGAAAAGAAGAGGAAAAAGGTAAAACGCAGAATTAGAAAGCAAATTCCGCTGTCCCCCATTTTTCTTATCAAGAAGGCCTCTGATCGTTTCTCAGCCACGGGTTTCAAAAGCCTTAATCCAGTTTTGTGACGAAATGGAAAGAATCAGGGATTATCTTATCTTTAAATTTTAGGCGCGAATTGGTATTAGTAAGAAGCATAAAGAGGTGTCTAGCATGGTAGCCAAATGGCAGAAAGTGCAACAAAATTTTGAGAACACGTAAGGTAAAAATAACACGGGGAAAATAGTGATCAGCGAGGAACAGGTAACTGAACATATTTGATTTTCAAATACGCGAATGTTGACATTTATAGTCAAAGAAGATGAATAACTTTAAAAATTTTATTTCCCAGGTGCAAGTTTTGTAACATAGTGCATTGTACTTCCGCCAGTATAGTGTTCCTGTATCTGCAGTCACATTGTTACGATTTCATGCTCTTTGTGTTTTTTTTTATTTAAAAAAGTTCCATGAATCCGATTGATATAAATAATAGAAAGTTCAAGACGTTTACTGTAGTGACAGTTTACGTGTTATCCACGCACACAAAACACGAGCTGTAGAAAATAAGCGTTATCGCGATCCAAAAACAGTTAATAATATTTCATATTATTTTCTCCCATAGCAAAAATTATCAATGTAAAAAACAAAGAATAATCAATATGTTCCCATTGTTTGAAATCAATGCGACGAAGTACAGTTTACATATTAACCATAAAATTTATTGTTTCGTCGAATACACGAATTTGACGAATATTAACAAATACTTTCAACGTTGTAAATATCGTGTCTTGCTTCTACAAACGGATAGCCGCTGCTTAGAAGGTAGATTGAAAATAACAGGTTTAGAATCAACCGTCTATTTTCCCAAGGACGAAGTGCGAATGCTGTGCGCATTTTTGAACGATGCGAGACTAATTTAGTATTTCGGTCACCGTGCATATCGTGCAATCTATTCTAACAGCGACCGGCGTCATTAAACGAATATTATTCGGATGTGAGATAGTATAAAATAAATCATTAACCAGAGACCATATTTAGATACTTCCGTGAGTTGTAGAATATTTTTTAAAAGGACTACGCAAGAGCTGGTATCATATGGACATTTCTTTGTAAGATTGTATGCGTTACAGAATTCATCTTTTGTAACAATATGTAAATATAATATGAAGAAAAAAAATATACGTATGTCTACTGAAATTTTATTACAAAAATAAAATAGAGACTCAAGATTCTATTAGGTTGTTATTCTTTAATTATTACATATAATTAAAGTAGAATTCTTATTCTTCAAAATAAAAGAGAAGGAAAATAAATTAAAAATTATCCTCGACTCATCGAAGATATCCGAACTGAGCGTGCCATTTCAGATAACTTCGAGGAGTGGAGAAAGAAGGCAAACGTGAGTATGTATTTCCTTCCTGAAATACACGTTTCAAAAACCCCTGATCATATTTCAAAGAAGAAATTTTGTTTACTATTTCTATGTACGAACGTACACATGCATATTATTAATACGATCGCGTCAAGATAGTTGAATGAATTTCAATGAATTTTACATTAAAATTTTATGTTCTCATTTCAAAGTCCGATTTGAGCATAATAAGCCCATGAATAATAATGATTATACCTCTTGTTGTTTTTTAATCATTCCGATACGAAAATTGTTTATATAAATCTTCACTACCATCTAGAAAAGAAAAAATTAAACGAAATCTTTACGTTGCATACCTATTAAATCGCATTAAAAACGTATACAACAAATGTTTTAGGATAATATTGTGCAAAATATTACTCATCAATTTAATTTATTTATTAAACGTGTTACCAAGATTTCAAGGCATGTTTTTATTTAATAGAATTAGAAATGTGTAAAACATTCCTTATGTTTATATTAATAAAAAATCAAAATCATAGTACATATTTTCTATGGTTTTTATTCACATACTCCTCTATCTTTCTCATTAATTTCTTAATTTGTATAAGTTCCAAAGTTTTAAAGCGTTTATAACTGCTCCAAATACTATTTAAATTTAATTAAAATGTAATTCAATTTTTCCATCGTTTCTCTATATATTTTTTCATGTAATTAATTAGTTCTAAACAATTACTGGAAGTGATAGTTACAAGCAGAATGGCTACAAAAGGTATCCTTGAATATTGCCCTGGATCATACTATATTATTAAATACTAAAAGTTCATAATTTAATCCCAGGAAAAGAGTAATTAGTGAATAATCAAGCTACGTGCATCGATTAATCAAAGTGGCGGGAAACGTGCTCATTGTATAACTCCTTTCCTATTCTGTGATCCTAGATTTTTCAGATTTTAGAATCCCCCTTTTATAGATAGTGCCACGTATTTTAGCATTTTTAGCGCTATGATGCATTAACTATCGCTTCCAGTAATTGTTTATAACTAATTAATTATATGAAAAAATGTATAGAGAAATGATTGAAGAACTTAATTAAATTCGAATAACATTTTAAGTAATTATAATGAAACTTTAGAATTTATAAAAATTAAGAAATTAATAGGAAAGGTAGAAGAAAATGTAATAAAAAGCATGGAAAGTATGTACTATGATTTTGATTTTTATAAACATAAGGAACATTATTCTAAAACATTATTCCTCGAAATTGGAATGAGGAGCTGTTGGTAACACTGAATCAGAACTATGCCAGACAAAACTCCAGACAGCAGTGATGGACTTTCGTGGGATTTTTCTCTCGCGGGATTCCTTTCTGCGCATGCGTAAACTGACGTCACACTGTGACGATCACAGCTAAGTACATGTCCGCTATCATAGATGTATCTTAAGCACAAGAGGAGGTGCATGTAAGGGGTCTGTTGGGAATTCCAACATTTTTAGTTTTAAGTCGATTAAAACGTATGAAATTAATTTGATTTAAATGTATTCAGTTAATATTGATAAAGTATATGTTTCCAGTATATAATTTTATATATTTTATGTATTTGTTATTTGTATGTTATGCGCTCCAGTGCGCATGATCAAAAATTCTCACGAAAGTCCATCACTGGCAGACAGTGTGGCATTGCTAGACCTTATCCCATTTAATTTTTACTTATTTCCTACATTGAAAATCGTTCAAAAACAACGAAGAATTTATAGAATCGGTTTATTCGCGATAACGTTGTCGCGTGAATTACATTCATGTTAGATTAAAGTAGTCGTAAAAATAGGTTAAAAAAACTACAAAATAATGCATATTTCAAGCCCACGTGAAGCCACACAATCAGCAAATACTAAATCAGTAAACGAACTTCGTCATAATCAAGAATTAAACAATCCATGTCTAAAGGTATTGTAACTTAATGGTTAACTTTTTGAGGTTAGTTTCAATACCTTTTCCATCTACGATAAAACTATATTATTTTAAATTTATTAATTGGAAGAATATACTTTTTAATTGAACGATTAACCAAACAGCAAGTAATGTATACTGTTAGGCGTTGTACCAGTTTTTTTATCACCACAATTTAAAGTAAATGTTCCGTTCTAGTGATTTGTTAAATTTATCTGTGATTTTCATTTCAGGAACATAATCTTAGTTTGAAGTGCCTTGATATTAATGATTACAAACATGAAAAATGCGAAGCGTACTTTGCAAATTACAAAGTCTGCAAAGCATTTTGGGTAATTTATAATACATTTAGTTTGCTTGCTATTTTACTTTCATTGATTTGTAATAGTATGCACATTATAATACTGTTTTATCATTTTTATCAAATTGTTATCATTGTACATTTAACTGATATTTTAGAGACAGATAAGAATTGATCGTAAACAACGTGGTATTGTTCCAAACCTTCCATTACCTGAGGATAGAGACAAAGTGAAAACAGAATACCTTAACTCTAGAAAAAAATAATATTTCTACATCTTATATGCATGTATTCAACAAATGTGCAATTTATATTTGATTTTACATACACAGGAAGTGTGGTAAGTTTAATTGTCTAATTTTCACTACTAAATAACTTCTGTTGCAGTATTTAAAATATAACATTGATAATAAAAATGTTTCTGAACTTAATAAAATTGTTTTATCTATATCGTAATTGTATGGAAACTAATTTGTAGAAGTTTTTCTATCACATTTTCAGAAGTATCATCTGTTAGAGAGAATACAGTTACAAATAAATTAGGTCTAAAGCTATTTTTCATGCTTCTCAATTGTATCAACAATGATTGTGCATTAAAAATAAGTAAATAAAGGATAGACAATATTTAAAAATAAACAAAATTCAGTTTACACAAAATCTTTTTAATATCTTTGGCAGAAATAAACCTTGGAAAATAGTACGATTACATTTACCATTGATAAAAGTTATAAACAATTAATCGATGTATAATTACATTGAAACAAAATAAAATATCTAGATTAAAGTTACACAGCATTTTAGTTAAAACAGATTACATAGGATTTGTTAAATGCTATTCGCACGAATATCGTGTGAATGTTCAATTGTTAAAGCATTTTGCGTCTCGAAATCCCTACACGTAAACTACATTTTTTCCCAAGATTATGTATGTACACATACTAAATTTTACAAAAGCTTTTGTTAATCCTATGAAGATTCGATTCTAATTGATATTTGAAACATTTTATTCTTGTTACATGCAGTAACATATTTAATTCTTGTAATAATGTATTGAATATATACATAAGAAATTACTCGTTCGATATTTCTATCTGTAGACTTTACAACATAGCATTATTGCACATGGAATTGATGAAAATCTATGGAAATGCATATTTAAATTGTTTGATTTATTCTACATTGACTTACGTTATCATAACAATTAAGCTTAAAATTGAATTTGCTTGAATCTTAAAAGAAGATTCGAACTTTTGTTCTCTTTCAACGTGGGACATTTTTAATAGCTATCTAATATTTAATGTGAAGACTAGCTGCTAGAGTATATATTTATATAAATGTATTTTGGTAACATTTGACCTGTTGTTTTCTTGTTTGTCTTCCGCAGATTCTTAATTTACATACTTTAAATGCAAAAACCTTTGAATTTAAAATCTTAAAATTAAAAAAAATTGAGCGACATGAAGGGCTAGACAACTTTTCGTTGAAAATGACAAAAAAATGTACAACTTTCATTCTACTCAAAATTCTGACTGTGATTCTGTGCATTATTTTTCCCACGTTGGAGAACTATCAAACGTATAATTCTGAGTATACAGTAACACGCATTCCATGTTTCTAAAAGAAAAAAAATATATATAGTATTATATACATGGAAAAATCTTCCCTCTGAATAGTCAGTTTTTTGGCCATTCGTTCGATAACAAACCATCATAAATATCGTGGTAGAAAAAGGAATTTCTATCATTTTCCTCCGAATTGACAATTCTAACTTGTAGTCTACCTCGTAATCGTTACGAATTTTGAAAATCTGTTACTTAATTTGACGCTATCGTCGTATCGATAGTAAAAATCGATGCTAGATCTCCGCTAAACGCAAAATAACACACATGCATTCTTACATAAAATAAATAATGTCTCTTGCGTATATCATATTACAAGTATACATCAACATATTCCTCCTCTATTACTTCGTATCAAAGTTCATTACTCTAAACTAACTCGGCTTCGATGCGGTGCGAAATGTTTAACTTCGTAGACGCCTATAGTTTGAGATTTTTCACAATATAAGCACTCAAGGTTCAATGATCTCTACGAAAAGAAACGATTATCGATCGCATAATAGAACCGAGCAAGCTTAACACCGCAGACGATACATGTTAAAAACGAAGAACAAAAATGCTCCTACACACAGTCAAAGTATACGAACAGAACACAAAAAGACAACACAGAAGTTGATGGCTGCTCTCTTTACCTATTACGATTGCACTAAAATACCTGTTAATCCTATGGGTACTGTGAACGTTTATAGACACTCAGTGCGTGCAGCGAATACCCTTGGGCGTTCAACGAATTTCCAACTATATAATATCCACACGCATTGCGTGATAAACGTTCGAGCACCGAAAAGATTAACTTATTCAAAGTACGAAAAAAATATGATTTCTTGCGACTAAGTATCACAGCAATATGAAAATTGAATGATTTTGTCTCTGCGAATGATTAAATCAGATCACTTAACAGTTAACTAGTTTGATCAATTGTCTTATTTTCACGTATTTGGAAGCTTTCTTTATCTTTGTTTGAGAACGAAACTCTAAGCCGTATTTGTTTTCCATTTGTGTAATTCATTGTCAAAACTCTTTCCTTCCCTTTGTCTAGTCTGTACTCGTTGATTCGTAACTGCCTCCGACTACCTTATTTATTCTTCGTTTTTAACATGTATCGTCGGCAAGTAGTCAATCTTTACGATCCTTGATACGGAATGTATGAATGCGGAAGTGACGACACATTTGACGTACCTAAAATGTCAAGATATCACTTTATCAGTACTTTGAAAAGCAACATGTTAATTCAGGAGTGGGGAACCTTTTAGCGCTGGTGACAATCCACATGTCAATACATGAACAAATAACAAATAATAATAATTGACAAAATATGAAAAAGGCAGCACAGAACACATCACAAGGCCGCAGGTTCCCCGTCCCTGTGTAAATTCCTTTAAAACAATTATCGAATATAAAAGTATGAGGCTTACCACACAAGTGCCATAATGAATATGTGCTAACAAAGCCACGATGGCAACGATGTATGTGAATACCAGATCTACGCTCGGCAAGATAAACGAAAATGCTGCTGTAATTCCTATAGGGAGCAATATCCACGATAATAGTTCGCATCTAGTGTTGCTCATTTGCGACACGATTAATCGACACTGCAAATTTAATTTAAAATTAATATTTAATCCTGTTACTTGCACACATGTTCAACAGGTTGAGTACCGCAGCTAACACCACTAGTATTTCCTAGTAATTACGCATTGATCACTAGTGATCGACATTTCGTATACAATGCTATTTTAAAACGCTTGTCATGAATAAATCTGAATATTTATAAGCTTCTGAATTACATTAATGTTATTGAGGCGTTCGATATAAATGGAAAAGCATGATAAATTCGCTCGATACTCAACCTGTTAATAAGCATTGTTGAGAGTTAATCATATATTTGTTCATCTTACACATATATTTGAGAAGATGGTTCCAACCGTCAAGAAGACGATTCGGGGATCTTCTTCCACGATATTATTTGGCGAATGCACTACCCAAATTGTCGAGATTGTGAAAAGTACACCTAAAAGTAGCAAAGGTCTAATGGCATCTAGGAATGTTCGCATCTTGCCAGTCTTATCTCTGTATGACCTGCAAATAAAAATGTTTAAAGTACATTTTTAAACAAGAACCCCTAATAGAAGATACAAAATGCTTCGATTTAATTGCACTAACTTGTATATGTTCCATAGAACTACGGGTAAACTAGTCGCAATTGCAGTAATGTAAAGTAAAATTTCGAACATCACTCCAACTGATATTTCACCAGGTAGCATGAATTTCCAGGTTCTATGTCCTCCTATACTTGATATAATAAATACTATAATAGTACTCTAAAAATTTGAAACGATTGTGAGTCACGCAAATTATCGATCATTTATCGTAAGCGCATGGAAGTATACCGACAGCAGTACTGAATATAAAATGAACTTACTACCATAGACAAATCGTATCCCCAAGGAAGAAATAATACACCGGTATTATACTTTTCCCAATGGGTCAAATAGAAATTAATAAATACACTCCAGAGTATGAAATACATTCGTAGCGGGGATACACTGTTGTCTGTCCTACCAAATACAGAGAACATGCAAACAGTAATAAGAATTGTTGTCCAACTATCTAATCCATGATCAAATAATTCTCCTAAGGGTCCAGATGTTTGAGTACGTCTAGCTTGTTTTCCATCAATGCCATCTAGAAAAAAAAAGAATTATTACTAAATAAACAATCTCTATAAATCAATAGAAAATCTTATAATATACTTTACAAATTTTATGCTTACCAAGTGTGTAAGCCATGAAAACATTAAATGCACCTAAAGCAAAGACCCATCTTGGTATAGGAGGATACTGTGGTGTATCATCACTGGATGCATACAAATAGTAATCATAACTAGCAAACATTACAAAGTTTAGGACAGTAAAAAGGAATCCAGAGAATGTTAACACATTTGGAGCAACCCATTTTGGACAGTACTGTAAAAGAATTATAACCTTACATGAGAAGTTTGGATGAAAGAGCACAATGAAATAATTTTAGTGAAAATCATACCTGAACTACTTTGTTCCAAAATGGGTGCATAATATACACACTGAGAGGGCTTGTATCCACTGAGCTATACTGAAAATAAATGATTAAATTATCATTTAAAATATTGTAGTATATAAGTGTGTGCTTATCGAAACATCTATTCATTATTAAACTTACATAATTGATTACATTCATATGATAAAATACATAAATAGAAACTATAGAGTATAATAATAGTAGAGTACAATAATATGTTACATAATGTATTTGATTTTCTTTTTTATATATGGAGCATAAAAGCTGACAATTACATTGTATTTAAAATTAAATTTATACAACTCCTATTAATAGCAGGTCATTTACATACAGTTTAAAACAATATTTCATGTATTTTCAATATTTAAATTTATTACATTATTGCCTATTAACAGAAGATTAGAATTTCTATAATTTTTACATACAAAATTGCTTACATTTGAGAACAGAAGCTTATTGTTTTAAAAATCAATATTTCATAAATTGCTTGTAACAGATTACTGAATTTACAACCCAAATCATGAGACAATATTTGCAAAAAACATGATCGATAGAGTCAAGCTGATATTTACTCTAGGAAAACATACAAAATGATTATTCACAGAAAATAATTTCCAACAAGCAAGAAGATAGTTAACAACATTGGCATTGAAGAGAAATTGACTTGAAGTTAGAAATAATAGTCTGAAAAATTTATAGAAACAATAAGAAAGATTAATTATAAATTTATGTGACAGAATATCTCAAAGTCATGGAAGGGAAACTGTTAAATTCGATAATTGGTCTTTGATGAAATCTAACTCTGATGTGTGTAATGAACGAACCGCAACTTACTTTATAATTTTCGAAGCCGGTGAGATGCTGTTCCGTCAAATACTCGACCTCGAGGCCCAGTTTCTGATACATGGTGAACCGGAGGATGTTTTAACCGCTATAGGAGACGTAGTTCGAGCGCTTCGAGATTTAATTTGTTTCACTTCATCAGTACCATTTTTCCCAGAACTAAATGCGAGACAAATTTCAAGTTATGCACACGAAGGGAAAGGTCCACATTCAAGCACGTGTTCCTCTTCGAGTGGCCGAGTCGAGCGTCAATTCATCGTGATATCGAGGTACTTCAGCGACGGGTACCGTGAATTTCACGGCGTGAAACGTGAAACGGCTCCTCCGAGTCTAAGCTGAAGGCCGATTCTCACGTGTCGGGGACGAATGAAACGACGCGTGGAGCGAAAAGCGATCGATTCTCCTCCGCTTATAAATTAAAAGAGGAGAGGAACATGAAATACGCCTACTGCGTATCGGTAGTGCTGGTAGTGCATCATTCTTAAATTAGTCGATCGGTGACGTTTGCCATCGCGAGATAACAAGATCTCATTGGATAATTAAGAAAACATGACTTTGACAGGGATCAGATTTATTCGAGTGTCTGTTAAATGGCAATTGGAATTATCTAATTTATGCATGAAATTATTAGTATGGACACTTGAGCACATTTTAAACAGTTTACTTTGATTTATACAGTGAGTCAAAGCCAGAATCGTACATCACATACGAAAATATGTTTCATTCGAAAAAAGAAGTTTAGGAATGATTTGGAAAAAAAATAAGGCAGACATATTATCGTAAATATATCTGTATTTGTTATGCAACAATAACAAAAGAAATGAATATTGCTTAACATAGAAAAAACAAAGTTACTATAATACGGTGCAGAAAACATCTCACAGCTAAAATCGTACATATTAAGAATATTGTTTTATATTTAAATTATATTAAAAATTAGTACTTTATAGGGCATGTAACTTTTTCAACATTGATTTTACTAGGTTTTGTGTAAAATCGGGTTCAATTTTTCTCCATTCTTCTTGCAATGCCTTTTTTAAGTCATTTTTATCAGAAATCGTATGTTTTCTAATCTTCACTTCTAATTCATACGAAATATTCTAAATTACGTTTAGGTCAGGTGATTGGAGAGGTGTATTGATAACTTTCGGGCAGTTATATAATTGCCACATTTTGATAATATGCGACGTATGTTTTGGGTCATTATCACTATAAAATTTAAAACAATTGAAAATTCCTAATTTCTCGGCACTACATTTTAAATTCATTTTTAAAATATTGAAATAATCAAATTTGTCCATGTTCCCTTCGATAAATTACAAATTTCCTGTTCCAGTAGCTGATATTCACCTCCATGTTTCATAGTAGGATTTATATTTTTTATTTTAAATTCTTCATTAGGTTTACGCCATACAGTAACTTTGTCATCTGAATGAAGAAGATTAAATTTGCTTTCGTCATCAAAAATAATTTCTTTCCAAAAACTATAATCCTTAGTTAGATACTGTCTCGAAAACTCTAATTTCCTTTTCTTATTTTTATCGCTGACAAATGGTTTATTTCTTGCTGTACGCCCATAAAAATCATTCCTTATTAGTACTCTCCTTACAATTTTTGGATTAACAGATATTTGTAAATATTTTTTCACCTCGTTCGATAATTCAGGTGCACTCTGCTTTGGATTTTTTTTTATTTTTCTAACTATCCATCGCTCGTCGTACGCATTAAATTTTTTGTTCGGTGCTGTTCTTAATTTATTTGTAATTCTATTTTCTTCTCTATAACGTTTATTAATGTATTGAACAGTGCTAATACTTCTACTATTTTTTCAATTTCTCGATGGTTTTTCCCATTTTTAAAGTTCTTCGCGACAATTTCCCGCGCCTCTAGTGTCGTCTGCTTCATTTTTACTATTATTACGATTTATTTCCTTGCTTCGATGTAATACCACGTTTATTAGAAGCTAAAACAACGATCTTCTTTTGTTTAACGTTCTTCCTTTCCAATTTTAGCTGTGTGATGTTTTCTGCGCCGTATTACAGTAACTTTATTTTTTTTATGTTAAGCAATATTCATTTCTTTTGTCATTATTACACAATAAAAACAGATATAATTTACAATATATGTCTGCCTTATTTGTTTTCCAAATCATCCTCAAACTTCTTTTTTCGAATGAAACATATTTTCATATGTGGTGTACGATTTTGGCTGTGACTCACTGTAGAATTAATAATAATAAAAATTTAATCGTATGCAATACTGTTTACAATTGAAAAAAGCCTAATGTCTGTAAAATTGTAAATAACGCTACTTTAATTGAGAATACAAATAATTTAATCATATTTTTAATGATATTCGAATGTTAGAACATTGTTCTCCTGTTTATATGGACGTGTACATAAATGAATATGCGTCTGTTTTTTCCTACATTTGTGTTTATGTAACGATCAGAATGGCTAAGGTCATGTAAATACCGGTTATTATAGTTTATAGTTAGCAATTAAAAATAACGATATTTGCCGCACGAATGATATGAAGATTTAAGGTTTTCACAGTCAAGCGTTAAATTACAATGCGTTTTAAAAGAAATTTTCATTGTTCGTTTATAAATGTAGTTAAACTTCTTAAATATTGATAAAACTTCCTGTTCTTATGTGTTATAACTTACGGATTTGATCGAAATTTGTTTCTTTGTAAAAAGCGTTTGACGAATTAATTCGCAATATTATCACTGTTATTATGAATATTGAATGCAGAAATAGTATATATCTTTACAACGATGCGTAATTTAAAATAAGCGAATACCTACGTGTAAGTTACGGTTTTTAAACATTTTTAACAAAAAGCTTTTTCATAATGTAATTTAAATTATGCGAACCTTTTATATTTCTTTATGGAGAATGTTAGTACAGATACATGAATCTTTTTTGCAAACAATTTACATTGTTACACCTAATCTATATTACATTTTACCCTAAAAAGGGGTTTATAAGTTTGAGAACATTTAGTACACATTAAGAGACGCAAAAAGTGTCTAACAAACATAGGTTTGAAAATTAATTCTTTCAACGTAAAATTAACTTTTAATATTCATGAATATTTAAATTCATAAGCAAGTCTCTTTGCGATACACTGAATATAAAGAAGAACTGATTCATTAGAAGTAGGTATTTAGTTCAAGGATTGCTTCATAGATACTGACCTTTCTTATTTCAGATGTTCCATATTATTGAACCTTCTTATTCTATTCCTTTCTCTGTAGGCTTTATTCAAACGTTGTAATTAATATATTGATAACTTTGAGTTAATGTGCCTATCACAAAGGGACTCGCATATAAATTTAAATATTCATACATATTAAAACTGTAAAATATTTTTCAAAAACTTCTAGTACAGGGTTAGATACATCTTTGCATCATTAATACAAAGAGTTCTTTTTATTAAACATTTGTGGTTTAATATTCTTTTATTACAAATACATCATGTTACATTTCTTACAATGACGGTAAAATAATTTACTAATGTTAATACCATAACACCTGAAAGGCAAGAATTAAAGTAGATACAAGTTCAATTCAATTGTATGACATGATAAAAAATAAACCACAGATACTCACACTGTTTACTTCAATAACTGATGACGGAGAATCAGGTAAGGAAGTGCAAGTCCGCTTCCAAAATATGCAGTGAACAGCAAAGTGAGCATGTACCTATTCTTAATGCTGAAGGGTAGATTCTACAAATAATTTCATTTCTTAAATTTCGATCTGAAGAATCATTGGTTTAAATTGTTTTGTATCAATAAACGAATGTAAATGTGTTGTTTGCGTTTTGATGAAAAAGAACGGAATTACATAACGAAAGGGTTGAAGTTTCCTTTACTTACAGCGCCAGGATAACCTTCTGGTCCATGGCTACTTCTCCTTACAGCGCTGGTTACGAAAGTCCTAACATGTTGCGAAATCATTTTTGAACTTTTGTTTTATTCAATCTTATGCTGTCGAATAATAATTTACTTCTATCCTTTTACAGAGTTCCGGACCAAACGACGAGTTGCCTTGCAATGGATTCTTTGCCGGGTATAATCTTATGGTGGGTTCACAAATTCAGGTGATACCTAAGTGTAGATACGTAAAGTGACGATAGTATTCTTTTTTAGGGACATTTATTTTTTATAGCGTACAACATGAAACTGCAATACCGATCTGATAAAAAACCAGTGATTTTTAAACGACCTCTTCGTTTAAAGAACTGTGATCTTAGGAACTATAATCAATTGAACTACTGAAATCGATGAAATTAGGAAACGTAGAAAAGTCTTTCTCCTCTTATACAGTGCACTTGCTATTATTAATAATTTTATCTGTTATCTAAAAAAACTATTTTAAATTCGCAGCCATTAGCTCAGTGTTACCGACGACGAAAGTCCTTTACCGTGATTGTGTAATACTCGGATTGATATTACCTATATGGTTTCTATTCTATAATATTTTAATCTATGCTTACAAGGCAAGACTGAAATGTACATATTTATTTACAATGTGCAATACTATAATATATGTTTTCACGTATCTTCGATTAATCAAAACGTATAGGTCTGAGAAAGACTTGAGTTACTGTTAGTAATAAGAAAAGAAAAGAAAACGCGTAAATCATTGATGCACCATACAAATCTGTATTTAAAAAGTATTATTATAGAATATTCATATAATTTGTTATGTTAAAAAGAGTAATGAAGGATATAAATACTCGATACAGTTTTAGAAATAAAGGATCGGTTCTTTTCTGTAAATTGCACTTGTGATTCGCGCCGGTTTCTGCCATAGTTGATGATTTGTAGACAGTTGTAATTCCACAACATGGCGTTCACGTTGTGGACATTGTTCGAGGCATCTCTGCTGTGTTTAAACGCTGTTTGCGTTTTGAACGAGGATAGGTTTCTTGCCAAAGGTGAATTTTTTTGTAGCTGTTTTGTTTTTTAATATTTCTCGTCCATTTTAATCAAGTGTGCCAATTTCAAGGGAAAATATAGGTTATGTTGTATCTTGTAACCGTTGCGTTAATATATCGTATTAATATGACGTTTCATTTTACGAATAAAGGAATATAACAATAGTTAACTGTCGCAAAGATTTAGTCAATGTTGCGAATACTAACGTATGTTTAATTTGTTGTAGTTGGTTGGGCGTCTTGGCAAAATGTTCAAGGTTTCGGCGAACCTTCTACATGGAAGTCACATATGTTGAACTTGATCAGGTCTATAAGAACAGTAGCAAGAGGTGACTATTTTGTATTTCGTAATGCAGTTGGATGTCCATTTTATATACTTAATATTCAAATGTATAATTGTTTTTTTGTTGCAGTTCCGCTGATGTTCTTGAATATTTTAATAATTATTGTGAAACTGGTGCTTGGATGATTTGTGGTGTAAATAAAAGAACAGTGATCTGTGAAGAACCAAAACATTTGATATTGTACATAAGCAGAATGGTTAAGTTACACTATTTTTATTTTTACAGTGAAAGCATCGTTTTATTTAATATAACGTAAAAAAAAAATTTTTAACGAATGTTATCTCCTTTGTTTTAACCATATTGTGTAATCTTTCTATCAATCGGTCAGCCCCAGAAAAAGAACTTTATAAAAGATTACAAATTGAGTTACACATTATATTATATTGTCATGCTTTTGATCGGCAAACCAATTATAAAATTGGTTTTTTTTTTTATGAGAAGTAATAGTGGTTTATATCAGGGGTAGCACTGAGTACTTAACTAACATAGGACCTAATAGACTGATTGTGGGAGAAATTTGCCTCCCTTGGCCTATACCTTCTTGTTCCTATATCTATTAGGAATTTAAAAATTGCCAAATTTTTTTCAACCAATTTATCAGTTTTACATTAAAAGCTATTTTAACATAGAGACATCTTGTGGACACGCGGGAGACCTCGCTTAATTTCCGATCGAGGAATGTTCTTTCTGAGATCACAAATATTCTCTCATGGGTAATTTAAATCGTGAATCGAAAAACCAACGATTTCCCCGTAACTCCTTCCTCATTCCTCGATTTTTCAGGTACTTAATCTGCCTATTCTAGGGCACGTGTTCAGTATAATATAGCTATTGCAGAATTTTCCTTATTCTTTCAAATCTATAGGTAGATACTTAGTCTATGGTAGAGAAATCTATGCGAACAAGTTAGCCATGATTGGACAGGTCAAGGATAAGAGTAGAAAAGTACAGGAATTAGGGATTGGATGGCTGGGAAAAATTTTAATGGGAGATTCCAGAGCCCAAAATAAGACGAAAATGAAGAATTCCAATTTGTTGATAGAGGCTTCGTTAAAAAGTTATTAAAGTTCCGCCTGTAGAACTGCAATCTGCGAACAGCTGCGTACGCGTGATAGTGGTTCTCACTCAGAAAACTGTGAGGCTGTCGATGCGTCACTAAGTAGAGTTTCTCATGCTGAGTGAGAACCACTATCATCCGCACGCAGCTGTATGCAGGTTGCCTATCTGCAGGCGGAACTTTAAACGTTAATATCTTTTTAACGAAGCTTCAATAAACTTCAATAAGCTTCAATAATTTTTCCAGAACAATTTGAAATTTTTTTTTTCCGTCGAAGAATTTCACATCTCGAATTTTTTTCTAGAAAGTGGGTAGGATTTCGGGAGTATGTCTATTCACCAAAAATGATTGTAATTGACCCCCGCAACCGAAAATAATTTTTCCAGAACGATTTGAAATTTTTTTTTTCGTTGAATTTAGGCACCTAATTAAATTTTCGGTAAGGAATTTTTTCCTCAAAAGTGCGTAGAATTTCGGGGGGATGTGTAATGACCAAAAATGATTGTAATTTACCCCTGTAATTAAATATAATTTTTTTAGTATGATTTGAAATTTTTTAATTTCGTCTCAAAATTTCAGTACCTACTCGAATTTTTTTCTCGAAAGTGGGTAGGATTTCAGGGGTATGTGTATTCATCAAAAATGGTTGTAATTGAGTCCCATAACCAAAAATAATTTTTTCAGAATGATTTGAAATTTTTTAATTTAATTTTTAATAACTTTTTAACGAAGCCTCGATCAACAAATTGGTATTCTTCATTTTCGTGTTATTTTGGCCTCTAGAATCTTCCATTAAAATTTTTCCCAGGGATGGCCGAACACCCTGTATATTATTTATATTGACTCGTTTAAAAATCACTTGAAAACTGAATGGTAACTCTTCTTTTATGGCGGTCTGTATAACGGTCTGGTCTCTTTCGCCGCATCGTTCGAAACTGGTAGAATTCGGATCGCCAATTACGCAACCAGTGCGTCCGATGTACACAATTTCTGGGCACGTACAGACCCCTTAAAATTGCCACAGTTTTTCTTTTTTTTTTTTTCTGTTTTCCTCTTCTCTGATTGCAACGGCGACCTGCATTCTCCGCACTCTTTCGCGCAACGCTTATCGAGTTACATAACCGAATCCTCGTTCACCGAGTCTTCCCTTCATTCTCGTTTTTCTTGCGATCCAGCCCCGCGATTTGATTCGTTGTAATTAAAGTAATTGCGCCGGTAGCCGCACAATGTATATTCGGGAAAAAGTAAAAATTACTCGGAGATCATATTATTTTTCTAAAATATTTATACGATAATGTTTCGAATTAAAATATCCAGCTACTTTTGTTATCATTAAGAGTTCGTTTTATGAAACATTCAATGCCGCCTACTTTCTTGGCGCTTTCCCCAAGCGTCCACTACTAAAATATAAAGAGTCAATTACAGCAACTTTTGTTTCTTTCATGCGTCGACTCACGACGTAATTATTTAGGTTCAGGAAAAAATAAGGCGATATTTTCTACCGTAATTTTATATGATTTTAGAAAGAAGGATAGGTTGCTGTCTTGTCTAGTGATTTAGTACGGCAATCAATTAAGAAATAAAGGAAAGGTAGCACCTCTCCATGGAAAATGTCTTAGACATGTGCATTGCTGATACTTTTACCTTAACGCGGATCCAGGGAATAACACGGCGATTTTTTGTCAAGTACAAGTGTGTTACATAAAATCTCGAGTATATTTGTTAAATAACTCGAGACGCGGAGTCTATCTACATCCTACTAGAAGTCATTAAAGCAGCGATTTTTAACCACTGCGCCGCGACGGCTACACGGCGCTTCAAATGTTTGGTGATAGATCTAACAAATCTTTATTCTTCTGTATTTTTTAAAAATGTTGCTGTATGGAAGCATTTTAAAGATTGATTTCTTGTAATTTCAGGTTCACTTAAGGTGCAAGACTACTGTAAAAACCTGAAAGAAAGCGTTTTTCTGCAATTTTTTTTGGATAGATAATATTCGAGAATGTTATTAACCATGTTGTTAAGTGTTAAAAAAAATAATATTTATTAAAAAATGGTGCAAAATGACGACGCTGGAGCCATTCTCGCGAGGCGTGTTTTGAATTTGAGGTGTTCTGCGGCAGGCAGTGGAACTGAGTTTGTATTTGAAAAGAAACAAAAAATTTTCTCTTAATCTACATGAGTATAACTAGAGAAATACAAAAAATGGGGCAATCATTTGTCAATAAATAATGTTAAAATTAACTTATCGAAGATCCCCTACGTATTTCTCTAGCTATACTCATGTAGATTAAGAGAAAATTTTTTGTTTCTTTTCCAGATACAAAGTGTCAGTTACAGGGGGTTGAATTTTTTAAAAAACCGGAATAAGTTTTTTAAGGAGTGTACCGGTGTACCTAGCTCACTCCTTGCTACCTAGGCTAGCTCACTCCTTAAAACACCGGAAGTAGAGTACCGGAATAAGTAAAATTATATCAAAGAGTATTAAGACCAAGTATGAAGCAAATCCGGCAACGAACAAAATATGTCCCATACAAACGTTGCAACCCCTTTCTACCCCCTTAGGGGTGGTATTATATTCTTAATATAGATAAGTGTGGTTATAGTATGAACTAGGATCTTTTCAAAAAAACAAAACATGGCAAAATGGCAGCTATTTTACAAAAAAATACTGAACATTTTCATATACTCGGCTGCTTTTTTGTTAATAAAAGAAAAAGTATTGTATATATCGCAATTATCCTAGTTCATGCTATAGGGAGACTAGTTCTAAAGATACTGTATAAATTTCGTGTTCATATGTTGAATAGTTTTTTTGTTATCACATACGCAGTGCCGAAAAATGTAGTTTCGAGAAAAACAGTTGTTATACCTGCGCGCGGTACATTTCAGCAGGCTATAACTTCGTTGATTTTTCAAATTTCAATTTAATATTTGGTAGATATATTTTCGAGTCTACATACTAAAAGAAAACTCAAAATAAAAAATTCAATTTTTTAAATACCACAAAGTAGAGAGGCCCCTTAAATGACTTAGAAAATAAAAGGAATCTCGAAGAAATCAAAAAATGCAAACGAATTCACAGACTGACCATAGCAATTGTTTTCTCTTTTTTTTTTAAATACGCGGATGACGCCTCAGCCACGTGGTCGCGTTTGCTATCCCATGGTTGCAGCTCGCGGAAGACGTCGATCTAATTGGTGGCGCGTAATTGTCGGCTGGTCCCGTAATTATGGAATGGAGGCGCGCGCAGCCTCGTTGAAATATACATCCGTCCACGTTAACGAAGCGTCTCTCGCGTAATGTTAAGCAACGTTCCGTCACTCCGGTCAAAAGCTCGCGGCCGCGGAAACGGGATTAGCGAAAGTACAAACGACGACGTAGAGCCGGGTACCATTGTGAACGAGCGCGTTTTACGAGCCTGTTGCTTGCTCGACAAATCCTCTTCCCATAATTGGCCGAGCGAATCGCATTGTGCGTCGTCACCGTGCCCGCGTTTTTCTCTCCTTTCACACGCCGCGACTTACGCCTCCGCTGATGGTTCATTCGATTGCGCGCAACTCCCGTAAAATGTCGGTTATAAGTTTTTTTTTTCTTCTTTTCGGCGAGTGGCAGGATACGCGATAATTTACATTACATTTCTTCCTTTTCTTCTTATTTATTATTTGGATTTTTTGCTTTCAGTTCCGAAACGAGCACAACACCGCATTAAGACCATACTCTGTCTTCTTTCTTGTTTTTGTACATATTGTATCGCTGTACTACTGAATTCGCGAAATCCTTGCATGGTAATTAAACATTTATTCTTTTATAATTTACTTATATTATTGTAAAGAGTTATAATGAATTAGAACCCGCATTAGTCACATCGTGTATTCGTTATGTATGTGTGGGCGTAACGTCTTTTGGTAAGATTTCAAGAGCGGTCAGTCGTCGTATAACAACAGTGTGTAACGAGTGTTTAATATATCCTTCCAAATATATATTATTATTATTAATTCTAAGGCCAACAATTATAAACGGAATTTACATCAAAGCGTTAACTTGTATAATGTAAATTAGACTGTATTTCACTACTAATGCGAACGATGTTTGCTTTCAGATCGTCAACGTTCGTTGAAATAAACAAGCGACTTAACATGGCCCCTCAAGGAAAAGTCTAATGGCGTCGCAATATCTCTATGGCGCATTTCTAATAATCTCAGACAAATCAAATTCCCGCCAAAGAAAAGATGAAATCATCTAAAGGTAAATAAAATAAGGAACAATGACTCCAGCCAAAAGACCGTACCACACATTAATTTTTTATGTAGCTTGACTATCGACCGAGGATTAGCAGCTCCCCAAATTCGATAATAAATAATTTACTCCTAAATTGACGAGTTTCTGCTCCAGTAAGGTTTCTTCTCGTTTAACTGGAGCACGGATCTCGTTGCGTGCGCTCGTTTTTCTCCTCTCCTGCCTGGCAGGCACGTTTATGGATTATGCACGGCTCTTACAAAATTCCACGGAGAGTCTCACAGTTCCTCTTCTTCTCTCCTTTCCCCTTTCACGGCCTCGCCGTACCCGGTGACGAGGAGACGCTGCACTTTCCCTGCTGGACGTCGTACATACGTAAGTCTTTTAGAATGGCCGAATCGTTGATAGCCCGATTTCCTCGGTCTTCGGAGAAATAACACTTTCCCGATTTCAATTATTCAATTGGCAAACGAGAGAACCGTAAATTATTGGCGCTCGAAAATGCTCACCGAGTCATGAGCGGCTTATGAATATCCCATTATGTAGGCGTTAAAAAAAAGGATCCAAGACTCGGAGAGTACTTAGCGTTCGCTGACTTGGCTAACAAATGCTGGAAATCGGTTTCACCTCTGACAGAGTTCATTTCTCAACGGTTGGAACATGGTTCTTGCCCGGTAAATCGATCGACCAACGTCAGGAAAACAGCTTTAGTTTAAACGGTTCTGATTTAAACGATCTGTACCACGGTTGAAATAAATAGAGCTCTACTTTTTATTACTATCAATAATAAATATTTTTCAGCGCGTCGAGTACGCCTACTGATTTTCATCCTTAACGTTTTTCCCGTAACACGCTGTATACTGTTTCTCGAGCAGTAATTATTGAAAGTGGCGCTTTGATTGCTCGTTTTATGCTTCGTTTGCAGTCAGTCGCGAAGCCCGTGCACGCATAACGTGTATTAAACGAAATACGTTCTTTGCATTTAGATTGTTGCATAGATTACCTATATAAAATGTGCATCATGGAGTTATATGCTCGACTGTGATGTATAAAATGAATATAAACGCGTTTTTTAATAATTATTAATACGATAAATATCGGTTTTATTTTTGTACAGACCATTTGTCACGAATTGAGCTAAACCAAACAATAATCCTAGATGGTAGATCAATGATGCGTAACAAACCGATTTTCAGCTATTTTACTCACATTAACATCAAGAAAAACATTACGAAAAAGCTTACAAGCTTCCGATCCCTTTTATTTCTTGGCGCAAGTAATTCTTAGATACCGAAATTTCTTTTGAATTGATAAACAACGGTCCAAACAACCTCGATCCACTTTTTTATCATTGTTGAGCATCGAATTTTCGCATTGTTTCTCTTAATTCGTTGCACGTTGGATCGCGGAATTGAGACTCGATGAAACACTATGAAATTACGGAACCTGGGGAAACACCTGCCATAATGATTCAATTTACGTCTCCAGCGTAGCTGCGCGTTAATTACGCAACTTTGCATTGTGTTTCCCGATTGCCTAATTCTGGAACTGGTTGCTCAATTCCTAATTATTTCTCGAAACGGCAACCGTACTCGATCGAAGTTTCATTTAAGGGATCACCTTTGAGAATTTATATTTTAGTGGAAAAAACAATCTTCTCGAACAAAAGATGTCCATAACAGACATGTATCTTTAGTGTATACTATAAGGCCTGCATTACAATATGAGAAGATACTTTATGTACACAAATAATATTTTTTAAATAGCCGAATAAGGGGGTCAAATGTGCCCCCAAACCGAATTGAATGAACGACGGGTCATTCGATAGCTTATCCAAAAAAAACTCTGTGTGCCAATTTTTAACTTGAAATCTCGACCGTGGGGGTAGTAATGGGGTGAAAACGAAAATCATGTTTTCTTTTCTTTTATTTTGTCATTTTTTGTTTTTTTTGAAAAGATCCTAGTTCAAGCTATAACCACACTCATCTATATTAAGAATATCGTCGGTTTTTGGATTTCGGATAACTTGTTCGCAAGATATCACATATGCAGTCGGGCGTCGTTCATAAAAATTGTTGTTTGTTGATTAACAAAAACAGCGTAATCAGTAGATATTATGGGTTGCAAAAATTTGTGAATATAGCTAAATATATAATAAATATATCTACGAAACTCGGAATTAATCGCTCTTTAATAGCCCGCAAAAAAAAATCACAAAGAAACCCTTAATGATTTTAATACTAACGAGTTTATTTTCTATGTGAATTTTATAGGGGACAAGCTACACTTGCACGCTGTAGGACGGAAGCGCCGGTCACCAGTGGCCACCGTGGCAGTCGACGCGTTAAAGGAAGTTCCCATGGTCGCGGCGATCATCTTTGATAAATCGGTTATGCGCGGGATTTCGTAAGCAACGAAATCTAAATACACGTAAGCGATTTAATGCCCCGTATCGTAACTCATTATCCGCCAGCTAAACGTTTCCATTAAATAGTGGGATACATTAAATCGACCCGCTTTCGTACGGTTTCCTGCGCGATAATCCAGGAAGCTATTAATCCGATGCATATTCTTGCTCAACCGTCGATGCCTCTTCTTGCCACGGAATTAGTACGCTGATATTGGTTAATGCTTCTGGTAGGAAAGATCTCGTTGGTCGTTTTAGTCGCCTCGGGCATTTTATTGCGAGCTTACAACGTTAGGATTCCAGTAATTCCACATAGGTTCGATAAGATTTAAAAGAGGAATTGCACGATAAAAAATGTTTGCAACAAGTATATGCATATATACTCGAGTAAGAAAATAAATAAATATTCAGGTCAACTTCTGTCCGCGTAGCACAGTTTTACTTGTTAAAAACTTTCTCAATGGACATACATATACTAGGATGGTCCACGTTAGTGTCTCGTTCACTTCGTGGGAAATTCGAACGTACGTATAGCAACAACAAATGTTGGTTATTTTTCATGTAAAGATCATTATATCAAAACATTGAAAACTCAATTAAAGTTAGAATCTCTATAGATATGAATTATATTGAAAAGTGTGTTGAATTAATGCCAGAAAGATTGACAGAGATCCCATGAACCATTGAAAAGTAAATGTACGAAGCGCGCTATATATCGTTCGTTGATTTAAATAATAAGGTGTGCTTTCGAGGGAAAAGATTTTTTCCAAGCCGGGATCGGTTTTTTGCCCACTGCGGTTCGTGGGAAACGCAGCGCGCGTCAGTCGATGGAAGAATTCCGCGACTGAAACGACTTTCGAATCTCTGACCGGGCTTCTCCTCCGGTCTCCTTTTGCGAAGCGTCCGCGAGACTTTTGCGTCATGTCCAGCGGAGAAGATCGGTGCAGTGAAAGGAGAAAGGCGCCCGTGGGGCTTCGAAACGCAGTGGATAAAAAAAATTCGGTGTCTTCCGAAGGAGGAAGCAAACTAAATAAAAAAAGAAGAAGAAAGATCAGCGAGAGGACGAGGGGTCACGCGGGAGAGATCGCGACGCTGGCGATCGAGGAAGATCGTCGTGGAAAAGAGAAATTAAGGACAAGGGCGGTGGGGGCAGGGGGGACGAAAGGAGGGAGAGGTAGGCTCGGCGAGACGCGAAATTGAACGAGTCTGTTGGTTCAACGGTGGCGACGTTTTTTTTTTATTTTTTTCTACAAAAAAGCCTTTATACAAGTACAAAAATGCGTAGTTAAGGAGTAGCGTTTGAAACATATAAAAAAATAGAATGTATCTGTTTCGTGTGTGTATTCGTCCGCGTCAGCGCCCGCTTTCGTTGTACCGAGAGATGCTGTCTCCGATTTTCTTTGTCCTCCTCGTTTTCGGTTCGACCTTACTTCCGGATCGGTGAATTCTGCGCAACGTGCGCGTCGGTTTCCTCTCATCGCGGCAGCGAACGCCACGAAAAAAGCGTGTACGTGTGTATTTACGTGTGTGGTTGTATTTACAGGGCGCGATTTCTCGCGCCGATCACGGCTTCGACTACGACTATCGGCTCGGGCTCAACGGCCTTGTATCGTTTTTATCTTTGAGTCTTATGAATATTTGCTACGGATCTCCGTCGAGATCCCGTTAAGCATCGAGGCTTTGTTTATCACTGGTTCGATTCCTCGCGAATACGACCGCGACGACGAATGATTTTGGTACGACAGAACGCGACACCATGCTCGACGCCCGAATCGTTGAGGCGGCTACGGTCTAAACGGACGTTCAAGTTCGCTCCCGTGCCCCGTACCGTCGGAGCGACGACCTTTTGATTCCCCGACGGAGACGGCGGCTACGGGAGACCCGTGATTACCTCAGCGCGCACAATCCGCGATCCCGCGGAGGATCGTGGCCCGTTGAAGCGACGACGATTTGATTTCAACGAGACAGGATCCTGGGGAATCCTCGCCGGTTGTTGTCCTCGTGCGCGCACCCAGATTTCATCGCGTTCCTCTTCGTCCGTGGACCTTGACCCGTCGAAACGACGACCTTCGATCGGAGAGGAAGACCTCAGCCTTCGAGAATCGTCCGTTTAATCTTAAAGAAAATTCGACCTTGTTCGACTCGAGCCTCGCGGTTGGACGCTCAACGATTCGTCCTTCGTGCGACGACCTTTCGAGCGAGTTGCCCGGGGAGACGAAACACTCGGGAGAACTTCCCTCGGCAAGTTGAAAAAAAGAAATGAAATGTTGGATCCTCCGGTTTGTACTGATTGGTCCTGGCTGTCTCGACCTTAACCGACTGCCTCTGTTATCGTTCCTTGATGTCGGCTCGAAAGATCGTCGCTATGGTCGGCTGGTGTCCTCCACACGCTCTCACTCTTTCTCTCCCGTCTCACACTCTCCCATCATCCTATCTTCTTCGAGCGTCCGCTTTAGTACGGGGCACCGTAGCTACCGCTGGGTCTGCTCGGAGCTCCGTAGGATCCGCTCGGTCCGCTCGGGTAGCCGCCAGGTCCTTGGCTGACCTGGTTGAACTGCGCCACCTGGATCGCTTGCCTGATTCCCTCGAGATCGATGCCTACCACGCGGGTTTGGTAACTGGGTACACCGTAGGACGAGCTGGGCACACCGTACTGGCTGGACGGGGCACCGTAGCTAGAGCTAGGCGCGTATCCACCGCCCCCGAATCCGCCGGTCTGCTGCGAACTCAGCTCCTCCTTCAGCAGTATCTGACGTATCTGCTCGAGCAGGGCTCCGTCGACGGAGGCGCCCTCGCTGGTCTGGTAGCCGGTGGACACTTGGGTGTATCCACCGCCGCCTCCAAGAGAATAGCCACCCCCGCCGCCGCCGCCACCGCCGAAAGAATAGCCACCACCGCCGCCGCCGCCGCCTCCTCCGGATGGCCTGTTATAGCTGTAGCCAGACGAGACTGGCGGCTCCGCCAGGGCGAACCCTGCCAGGCCGACTATCATGCACTGCAATTTTCAAATTTTACACTTTATTAATTACCCTGCTCAGGGGAGGGACTATGAAACGTTTTCCTGACGGTTAAGTTTTCTATTATGTACATAGTTCTTCCATGATAAGAACTAACGCGTTTAGTCCAGCTAACATAGTCTACTTTTTTCAGGTCCTCTCACTGTCAGCGACGGTTTTCATCCCTTGAAAGGCGGACAGCCTGGTTAGGCTGCGTTTCGACCAGAGAATCAAGAGACCGACCACGGAGGCACAGTGAGGGTAATTCAAGGGTACTTTCGACCAGCCAAAATAATTGATAACGACTATAGCGGTGTATATCATTCGGTGGAAAGCGAAAGGCTGCCGATAGAAAGTCTCAGCCAAAGGGAGCGATTCGGGTACGGGGATCCGCGGGTTCAGCGTACCCGCGAGAAAACGAAAAAGAACCAAATCCGCTACGACCGTCGAAGCGTAGTTTAAGCTAAAGAGACGCCACCGTCGAAAGGGAAAGTGGCGGTTCGGGTTTCTCGTTAACGGGAAACTCGAATAACGAACCGAAAAACAAAGGCGTCGAGCTAACTTCCGGTTAGAAAGATCCGTTCGTAGGCACTTGCTTAACGACATTGCTATTATTATTATTCGAATAGTAGATTGTACGATACGAAACAAAGATGTTTTTCGGAAAATTTTGAATACACTGATATGGTGCTTGGTCGAACTTATCGAGGACACCGGCCACTGAAACGTCCCGCGCTAATCTCACTTTGGAAATTTTCTACACTTGTTCACCGAGACGCTCTCCTTTTCCCACACTCACTCACGCTCTCTCTTTCTCTCTCTATCTGTTTCGGTTAGGGTAATGATTAGGAGAATTCAGCGTGCTTACCGCGATCAGAGGATTCATGTCGGCTTCTGCGATGCCGCTCGGTTCTGTGACTCCGTGGAAGGTAGACCGGGGTCCTTTATACCCCCACGGGAAGCAGGGGGATACTTGGGGCCCCCACGAAGAAGAGACGGGGGCCTCTCGAGTGAGAGTAATTCAGCTGTGAGACGATTCTCTCCTCCTCCTCTCCCCGTCGACCCTCCTCCTCCACCGACGGTGCTCTGTCCTTTCGATTGTGTTCGCTTCTTCGTTCATCTGCCGCGCGTCGCGCCGACGCGTCCTCTTCTTCGACGGTCCGCGACCCTCTTCCCTGCGAATACCCGAATTTGGCTGGCGAGCGGTTGCGAAACGTTCTTCTCTCGATACTCGGCCAACGGGGCCCCGATTCGCGTCCTAGACCCAGACTCCTTTACGTGCTGCGCAGCACGGTCTGTTATTTCAGAAATTACTAGCTTCGATACATCAAGCACCCTATAATTTTGTGAGAGCCAAACTTTTTATGCGTCGTATCAGGGCGATCCGTAAGTTTTTAGGTAGTTTCGTTGAAAATTCAAATATAAAAATAGTAACAGCGAACAGAGATTAGCCTTTGGTGTAAGAGAATATTAAATTGAGGAAATCTTTGGTTCGTTGTTTTATTTCAGTTAAAACAAATTGGTTAAAAATGTACATCGAAACGTTTATTTATTATAGGAACGAAAATTGTAATTTTACAACGAGTTTTTATCTTGGAACGAAGCAAAGATTCTTAAAATGGCAGGCTGCGCGCCGTTGTAATCGCCCCCCCCCCTCCCTCCCCTCCCGATTTCGTCAATCGACTTTGACCCGCAGCGATCGCTTCTTGTACTCGATCTTGGCCCAGGCTTTCGTGTAATTACATGGCGCAACGGAGTCTTGAGGAATCGACGAGAGGACTAGGATGATTTCGTATTTCTCCGTGTTTTTACATGTTCACTCGATCATTAGACGCGATATCGATCGAATCGTGTGCCCGGTGCTGTTGGAGCACAATTCCAAATCTTGTTAAAAATTTCTATCATTAAAATTCCGTCGGTGCGCCCGGGAGAAGCACGTAGAACCATCCATCTAACATTGCAAGTAGACCACGGTTGACAGTCGGTTTTTTAAGCCATTTGCGAACGTTTAACCCACTTTTCTGTAATTTATTTTGTATATCGAAACACGCTAAGTTATTTCTGTCGGTGTTGAAAAATAGACACGAAAAACCGGCGTGGCAATCGACTCGTTAATATTTGCACCGTGCAGTATCAAAATACTGCTAGTGTTGACAAACATTAATTCCTGCTGAAAGTCTAAAAATAGACGTTTTCATTTCCGGTTCATCGTGCAGGTCACGTTCCTCGCGTAAAAAGGAATGTTCCCACTAACTGGGACACAAGTTTCCAAAAAATGGTGATTAATTCCTCTATATTTAAATTATTCATCGTGTCGCTTAATTATTTCATAACGCACAGCTTGGGCTATCAGCACTTAATTAAGCGACCGGTCACGTAGATCCACGTTTTTTCTTGCCAACCGTGTAATTATGTAGTACTACTCGTCCTTCAACTGTTAACACACCGCGTCAACGGTGAGTTGTTTTATACATTTCTGATTAACAAAATTTTCCTCGTTGACCTGTAATCGGAAATTTTTTTTAGACACACCTCGTCCGTTTCGGTAGCGTATGCAAATATCCTTGAAAGATATGCAAATGCGTTCGAAAAATATGCAATTTGTGAGTAATGTGTTTCACGTAGATCCCTGAGGTAGACATTTATCAATTTATCAATTATGTCTCAATTAAAAATTTATATACACTCGGCTACCATAATTTGCGTCGCAATAAATTAGTAACCATTTTACAATGCGTGGAACACTTGACAGTTTCAGTTGACCGTCAGGGAATTATGACGTTCGAATAGTAACATTTAAATAATCGTATTTCGATAGTGATGTCCGAATAATTCCGAATTCAAGTTCGTTAACCCAGATCACGTCGATGATTATACGCGATTCTTTGTAACCGTTTTACGTAACATTCGGTTGCGTTAACCGTACCGAACAAAAAAAAAAAAGGAAACAGGCCGCAGGAAAGCAATCACGAAGCGTATCTCAAAGCCACCCGGTAGATCGTTGATCCTTGCTCTCCAGAGGGAGAGTATCAGGAAGAAAAGTACGCGGTCGAACGTAGTTGTATCATCCTCGCGGGAGAACTTCCTCGCGTTTCGAGCGTAATCATCGTCGTCTGCGGCGCCGTGTTCGTTCTGGCTGCTCGCAGGCGGTCTCTGCAATCATGTGCACTCACACAGCACACAGAGAGATGCACCTGGGGGAGATATCGGACGATACCTAACCGGACGCTGTCCAGCTCTGGTCCGCGCGGTGATGGTACCACGAAACGAGAGGGAAAACGCTTTCTTCGATGTGGAATTTAATTATCCGGCTCGTGAACTCTCGACCCACTTCTCGACACACTCGGATACGATGTTTTCTGTCATCTATCGCCTCTTTCCTTTCTTCTCATCGCCGTGTTCACCCCATTTCCGGGCAGATTCGCGCGTTCCCCGATCACGCACCCGACCAGTCTTCGTTGCGGAGCTCGTTCTTACGTTACAGTCGCCACCAATTTTTCAGTTTCGACACTCCGTTTACACCGTCCTCGTCGAAACAGTGCGCAACCGAGCATTTCATTCGACTGCGTTTCCAACCGACGACGGTAACGTTTGCACCAAGCGTATGCAGTTTATAAAAAGTCACATCGTGTGAGGCTCAAAGACGTTGTACGGTCTTACGAACTGCGTTTACACGATAGTGCACCCAAAGTGTTTGACTCGACTGCGTTTACATTCGTTCGAGTTTATACAAAGTATAACCACGATACACAAGTAACAAAAAGGATATGGAAAAGTATGTTACGTGTTTATTAAAGAAAGAAAAAAAAAATAGAACAGCGTTTTTTATGGCTCGGCTCAATTTCTCTCATCGTCGGGTACGTTGTTAAAAAAAAAAGTGGAAAGTAACGGTCGGAGGATGTTGGTCGTAGATAATTTGACTCGTCGAAGAAAGCAGGAAACGATGCGCGATTTTGTGTTCGGAGCGCAGTATCGGCATCGCAGTAATTCTTTTTTCGATTACACGTATCTACAATCGCGTAAAAATGTCGATCTTACGAAAGACGCGCTCGCAGCGATCGCGTCGTCGTTTCCTCCGAGAAAATCGAAAGCTATAATTCAGTCGCGAAGATAGCCACGACCGCCTGGCTATTTTTGTCTAGAATTTATCCCCGCGTCGACGTCGCTTAACATTTATTCGTCGAGTGAAAGTAATTTTTTCAGTCGGTCGCGAGCAGTCAAGACACATTTTGGTAAAATAACGGAAATATTCTTCTATGCCCGCTCGAATATCGAACGAAGCATACGAGAAGGATTTACGATCGCACGGTGGGCGTTAAATTACAGAAGTCGCCGAGGCCCCCGTAATAATAACGTACGGTCCCCGTCGCCACCGTTTGTCGCGTAACAATTTATCCCCGTCGTAATAAATAATTTCCAGCGTATCGAACACGGAGAAAGTAAAAAGCTACGGAGGTTGACTAAACGGAACACCTTGCATCGATATGAAATTACGATTTACGTTGTGGCGCGATCAGAACGCGTACGTGGTACCCGCAAACCCCATTATTCGAGTTTTGTAACGATTTCGAACCGTGCCTAACAAACCACAAATACTTGCAGCGACCAGAAATTCCTAGAAACTACATTCTCGACTATAGAATTACATTTCTCTGCGAACCAACATTCGTCTTTCGTACGTCGACTCTCTCAAAGCAATCGATGTTATTCACGAGTTCCAATGAAGAAATTAATGTATTAAAGCGTTAACTACCACGCTTGTTTTCCGTATTACCATTCCTAATTACAGTAACGTTAATTAAAAGTTTTTAAGTACTAGGGTTTATCCGTTTAAAGAGTTTTATCGAAGTTTAGAAATCGCCGAACGTTTATTAAAATGTTTCGAATCGCGCGCCGACGTCGCCGAAGGGTTCGGGTGAATTCGGAAAACTTCGTGGCCGCGATCACGGGGGTTTATATCGCTGCTCGAAGGGTGACGCGAGTCAGTCTGCGCACAGCAGTCCAGCCGATTGGGAGGTATACGAATATTTAAATTATTTCTTTCGAAATTTTCCCCTTCCAACTATCTAGTTCCCTGTACTGTACAGTATCGTCTTAAGTACAGTCTATAGATTAATTCGAAATTAACGTGGTCCTATTTGTTACTGGAGAAGGTGTTCTGATTTCCTTGATCGCAAATGCGATTCATTCGGGCTCGTCGATCCCGATGACTGGTAATATTCGCGGACCCTCGAGTCACGTCTTGCCATGTACTGCATCCGAGTTTCTCGGATATTAATGTTGCAGGGTTGTAGGAAGGGAGGGGAATCCGTGGGCCTGGGGCTTGACTTTCGCTCGGCCGATGGAACTTCTCTTGGATGGTCTTCTTCCTCCTCGATGCTGTCTAGCTCGGATTCTTTTCGTTGTATCCCGAAGAATCGATTCAAATTCCGACGGTTTTAAAAGCAAGACTGAACACGCACTAATGGACTTTTAACATAAATAATATTTTTCTCGGGTATAGAATTTAAAAAGACAAACGACATCGTGATGTCATAGGATTTTTAACAAGTAACTGCTTTATTATCGTATAATTAATTCTAACTTTCTTCGTAGATACAAGATAAAATCGTCACGCGGGTAATTAACAATTTTACGCCGAGACCCGATCGCTCATTTGCCTAAGTAATTAAGAGGAATGGTCGCGGCGAGTTTCACGAACGTTTCGAGCTATCGTTGATCTTTTTTCGGCAGAAATTTGCATTTTAGAATCACATACGTCTGTTCCGGAAAGGAAAGCGCTGTAATTGTTCAGTTAGCCGTAAATTGTTACTTGTTAAGGAGGACTGTGCTTATTAATTATAGGATTTTTAGAGACTACAAAGAGTTCTCACAATTTTTAAAAGC